TCTCTCTCTCTCTCTCTCTCTCCTCCATGTATGGTTTGGAGGGTGAAATCGATGGCATTATACTGATCTGTAGTTCCTCCCCTCCTCAAATCCCACCCTCCCCAGGCTCCACCCCACAAATGTCCAGGAATTTCCCAACCTGGAGTCGACAACACAATTTCCTTCCCACTCAACAGCCAACCTACCTTTATCTGCCGCTCTGTCTTCACCTTTCCATCTCCACACCCCTCCCCACAGCCTCTACCTAGGAAAATTAGTCTTTCTCTACAGTGGGGACCAAAGCAGCTTACATTATTCTCTCCTCCTTTTTATCTGCACAACAACCCTGTGAGGTTGGGTAGGCTGAAAGTATGTGACTGGTCCAAAATCACCCAGTCAGCTTCCACCGCAAGATGGGGATCTGAACCTGGGTCTCGCAGACCCTAATTTGAAGCTCTAACTGATGCACCACACTGGCTTTCATAGGGTGGCTGCTGATGAACAGTAGCAAGCAGCTGGACCTAATTGAGGCATGCAAATCAAGTGATATCAAGTCACCCAGAGGGTGCTGCCTAGGGATGCCAGCCTCCAGGTGGGACCTGGGGAATTGCCTGGAATTACTGCTCATCTCCAGACTACAGATATAACTTCCCATGGAGAAAATGGATGCTTTGGAGGGTCGACTCTGTGGCATTGTATCCCACTGAGGTCCCTGTCCTCCCCAGGCTCCACCCGCAAATCTCCAGGAGTTTCCCAGCCTGGATCTGGCAACCTTACCCCCCATCCCCTGCCGGTGGCCAGGGGGGGACCTGGAGACCCTAAACTGCTGCCAGGCCTAGGGTTGCCAACCTCTAAGTGGGGCCTGGAGGACCCCCCCAGAATTACAACTGAACTCAAGACAGCAGAGATCTGTCTCCCTGGAGAAAATGGCTGCTTTGGAGGGTGGACTCTGTGGCATTATACCCAGCTGAGGCCTCTCCCTTTCCCAAACCAGCCCTCCTTACAGTCTACCTCAAAACCTCTAGGGATTTCCCCAGGCTGGTACTGGCAGCCCTTGTCAGGCCAGGCCCCAAGGCTCCCTCCCTCCCTCAGAGACCAAAAGAGGCCAGGAAAGGGCCCTTCCCCCACCCTTTTACTGACAGAGCCAGTTAGAAGCCTCCCCACCCCAGCCCCAAACCTTCTATCTCTCTCACCATTGATGCCTGGAGTTAGATCCCTGCAGAGGCCATTTCAAAAGGTACTGGGGGGAATTCAACCCTCCCTGAAGGGATTATTTTACTTCTTGAATTTTTCTGCAGACACAGGAAGTATACTGACTATGTAGGAAAAGCTGTTGGGGGAAGAGTAAGCTTCCTGTTGGTGGAAATAAGTATCCACACAACCCGCCCCCTGTTGGAATTAGATATATAGATTAACTGAATTGTACTTCCAGTGTGTTAGATTGTATGTTAAAGGTACAGGAACAGGGCTTGTTAAAAATAAAATAAAAGGCAACCTTAGAACATATAGAAATGATATCTGTGCATATCAGGGTTGGAGAAACCAGAGATAGATAACTCTCTTCTTCCACAAATAGGTCATAGTAAATATCCACACACCCCCATGAGGGTAGTTCTACACTTATTCTATTTTAAAATTATGTAAATCTTCAGGTTGTCTATATTGAGACTTCAAAATATGGATGAGAAAGACAGTCTTTTCTGGAAAGAATCACCCTGTTTAGATTAATTCATTTATAATAAATAATACTATTTTTACTTACGCTGTGTTTGAATTGGGGCAATGTGCAATGGCGGCTCCTCTAAGATTAAAAAGTTTCAGCTCTTCATCCGAAAGATAGCAGCCATGAGCCAATATCGTCTAAAGACAAAACAACATAATTTGCTTTTGCTGGTGCCTGTGAACTGCTACAGCTTTGTTTGTCCTTGTACTTAGGAAGGATATGTAACACTGAATAATTATCTGACAGAACCTGGTTGTCATGATAAGTTTTACTGATTCTGCTGCTACCAGTTCCATACCCCAGCATAAAGATGCTGTCAATTCCTTTGTCTGTATGCAGAACCAGAATCCTACCCACTTCAAGGTAAGGAGGAAAGATTAAAATGAACAGGCCACAGCTGGAAAATGAAGAAGCTTCAATGACACAAACTCCAAGGAGAAATGTAGCAATCCTTCACAGGGTATTTTCACAGAAGAAACAAAAAAACAAAAAAAATGGAATGTGTCACTTTTGAATGTTGTGAAGGCCAGGATGGAAAGCCTGTTTTAAATCAAAGTGTCCCTAAAAATGGAAACATTGAGAAACCAGTGGGGAACACTGCTGGTTCTCTGTGTTGTTTTAACTTTAAACCACTGTTTAGGATGCTCTGACACAGCAACCTGAAAATTTGCATTGAGGTTCTTGTGTAAACTCTACAAGCATGCTCCCCCCCCCCACTGTTCCAGCTAACTTACAACTTTCAGCCTTGAAGGATAACTTTATAAATAAGTGGCTTTATGCCTAGAATGAATCCAAAAGCAAACAGAACAGAGTTTGCAACAGTTATTCTTTGGGATACTCAAAGGTGTCTTACATTATGCTCTTAGAAGGCACAAATCAGAGGGTTTAGTAAAGGGCGATTTCGCACTAGAGCTGCCTCGTGCTTGCGCCGCCGTTTGCCCCGACACTATTTGTCAATTTTACACCCGAGGCTGCGGGGCTGCATTTGACCCGCGGCTTCGCCCGATTTCCTCCGCAGTTTCATGATCCTCAAAAACCAGGATCACGAAACTGCGGGGGAAATCGGGTGAAGCCGCGAGTAAAAATGCAGCCCCGCAGCTTTGGGTGTGAAATTGACATATTTGTGTGGGGGCAAACGGCGGTGCGAAATCAAGAGTGCGAAATCACCCAAAGAGAAGCTATTACATAGGTTCTCTATAAGCTGCACATACCTTGTTACCTCTGAATCTCCCAGATCTGGAATTCAGTGAAATCTGCCTCCCCCCACCCTGCTTTTTGGCAAACCTCATGGTAAGAAGCTTTGAATCATAATCTTTTTTTCTAAAAGTCAGCTTATATCCCGCCCTTCCACTGTGGGCTGAGGGCGGCTAACAAGAGGCAATGCCATACAAACAGTAAAATCAGTAAAACAATCAAATTTCAAGTTACATATAAAATCAGTGCTCACATAGTACATCCACGGCATAGTACATCCAAGGCTCACATAGTACATCCAATAAGAATGACATGCATGCTTATGTATGATTGATTCCTATAGGGTATGTCTGTATGTGTAGAGATTCTAGCCACCAGGTGGGTGAACTACAGAGATTAGTTCACCTAGAGAAAATGGATGCTTTGAAGGGTGGACACTGTGACATTGTACCTCACTGTCTTCCCCAGGCTCCATCCTCAAATCTCCAGGAGTTTCCCAACCTGGATCTGGCAACCCTACCGAGCATCCCCTGCTGGTGGCGAGGGGGACCTAGCAATCATCCTTCTGTGTATCTATTTAATGTTTTGTTTAATCATATCTAGAGTGATCAGATAATTTTAAAATAAAAGTTTTAACTAATACTTTGACTGTTTTGTGACTGGGAAATACAGGGCTTCACTTTGAACATGGAACGAAGAAAGAAAAACCTCAATATCTTCCTTAGTGATAGACGGCTGTGCCCAGCAAAGATTGACTGTTTTAAGGGAATATTCAGTCATCAAGCAGCATTGTGATTTAGTAGTAATGTGTTGCTTCCATTCAGTCGTCAAATATCTATGTGGCTGTGAAAAATAATGCCCTCTCAGAGGTTGGACCCACGACCACTATATCTGAACATTCAACAGATTTAAAGGTCATAGTCCTTCAGCAGAAGAGTTTCACAGGGAGACTCCAGCAAGAAACTGTTCAGCTGGGATCCATTTGCAAACTTGATAGTATCAGACTTTGACTCAATAAGGACTTGGAATAGTTAGCATACTGCGAAAAGTAATTATTCCTCCTTATGGCCTTATGTATATTATTCAGATTCATCCTAATTTGCCATTTCATCAACAGTTGGGAGTGCTCCACACCCACTCTGAAGGGCTTGTTTACTCTTTTGACTGGATCTTGGTTTTCACATTTTAGAGAGTCATCCCATATCAAAAAGGTCACCCTCATGTGTGCTATGTGTTAGTTCTTACCTGATCGTGTTTTCTTATGCTAACTTCTTGAGAGTTTATGGTGGGCTGCAACATATCCCACATTTTTACTGAGCAATTAAAATTCAGTGCAAGTGGTGAACAGAATTTTATTATATTTGTATCATGTATGCTTAAAAATGGAATGCTTTCTTAAACGAAGACATGGTATTTCTTGAAACTGAAAATAATATTTGTTTCCCAGAAATACATTTTGATAGCTGCTGTTTACCCAGAATATATACAAATTTCTAAACTGGTAAACAGTGGTAAAACCTGCATATTATTGACTTTATTAAGCATAACCTTTGTTGAGTTTTACTGAAGTGACTAACATTGTATATACAAACTGGTAATTAACACTAATTCTGCTGTAAAATGCTATGTGAATTTGAAAATCCAAAAATAGATTTTCAGAGAATACCAGTCATATCCCATGAGATTTTTTAAAGCAACTGGATACCCTGAATGTCCTTGAAGGGTCTACCTTACACCCTTCTAAATTCACTGAAGTCAATGGACTAAGAAGGGTGTAACTGCATGGGATGACACTGAATGTTAGATTTCCACTAACAGCAGCATCAAATGGTATTTACAATTTACTACTGTGATCACAATTTTTTAAAATGTTAAAGCAGTTTTTTGCGAAACGATCACAAAGAATGGGTCTGGAAAACTCTATGCATTTATAACTTGTGTTATGGCGCTTCAGTCACCAATTATGAAAACTGTATCTTCACAAGATGTTGTAAATGGATTTAGAAACATTACTGTTTCTTTCAGTCTTCAAAAGATCCTTCCAAATTGGATCAAGCTGAATGCAGATTAGTGACCATTATATTTTTCTGTTTCCCCCTCTTCTTAGAGGCAAAGGACCATGATCTTTTAATTAATTACTACTTTAATAAGCGACAGTTATTTCAACAGTACTTTCTTGCCTCTTGGGCGAGGAGCAGGATTTATTCATACGTTTTCAATGATACATTTGTGTTACTTAATATACCTTGTTTGTAAGAAGTTTATTTTTATCATATAACTGTGTATAATTTTGATAGGTAGGAAATATTTTTTCTACAAGCTTGATTTCTTCCTCTGTCTCACTTATGTGACTCTGTGAAGACAAAAGAGGAAACAGTATTTCACTTAATGGTTAATTTCAACAACAAAAAACTACGTATTACACAATGTTCAAAGTGGTACCTAATGACTTCATTGACCACACAGAGTGGACTGTTCTGGACCATGCACACAGGGCCAACCCAATGATTTGGGGTACCCGTGGGAAGGTAACAGCATTCCGTGCACCTTGGCATCTAGTCATGCCGGCCACATGACCACAGAAATGCCTTTGGACAGTGCTGGCTCTTCGGCTTGGAAATGGAGATGAGCACCGCATCCCTAGAGTCGGATTCGACTGGCTTTCGAGCAAGGAAAGCCTTTACCTTATGCTAGGGCAAAGAAGTCACTCCTCCCCCACATGGTGGGAAGGAAGGAAGATGCCTCCAGCTCTCATCAACTACTGCACTGTGGAAGAGGAAAGGAGGAAGGGGGCTCACTCCTGGAACTGCTGCTTGTCATAGTAGATCCCAATGCTGCTGGCAGGTGGGACAGGAAGACTGGTGGGCACCCCTTCACCTCTGGCACTCCAGGTGATTGCCTGTGTGCACCTACTGGATGGGCTGGCCCTGTATGCACACAATGATAAGGCATCATTTTGAAATGGAAGAATCAAAGGAAGGCAAGGACCTATAAATATCCATGAGTTAAAATTTTATGTAATTATAGCAACTCATATTGTGTTGAATGACCAGTTCCAAGCAATCCTGAGTGAGATTCTTCTTGAGGGTAGGGGGAATGGGGAGAAGGACAGAAAGACAATCCCTCCATTACCAAGACTGTAAAGCACTTTGTGATAAGGAACTATCTTCTTCTACCAGGCAAATGGATAGCATCATAGAAGAAAGAAACAAAGCCTTGCTGTGGGGAAACAATGTATCTTCTGCTTTAAAAATAATAATGGGAGATTTGTAAAGCCCTGACAAGTACAAGGACAGTTTAAAAATCTACAAGTTTTTTTTAAAAGAAACTTCTAAAATAGTAATACTTTTTTTGTGGGCAGGCTCACAACCAGTCGGTACCTCTTCTACTTATATAATCACATTTACTCCACATTCTAAATTGCAATGGCTTAGTGAGCTGGGAAAAGAATCACATTTTCTCAACAACAAAACATTTGAGTGGTTGCCAGATTTCCGCACAAAAAGAAACATTGTCTTGGGGAATGACATCTCCCCACTCCCAACAATAACCAAGACACAATTTCACATTTATGATGAAGTACAACAATAATTCTCTTTGAACAGAATTAGCACAATCACATGGAATGTGTGGTAAAGTAAGAAATGTTGAATACAAAGGTTCTTTCTGTCACCTGCATTAAGATTTGTACTAAGCAGGGAAATTAGGGCATGCTCAAAGAACCATTTATAATTTTTAAATCCCCATGAATGATCTATATACGCAGTGCACAGGCAAGGTGATCCTTTCTGACAAGGGTCCTATGAACCTGAAAGAAACTGCTTCCATATGACCTTCTTTCCCATGCGTACCATGACTGAAGGACTTGACAAGACAGGTTCCCCCCCTCAATGTGGTGCTATTGGTTATCCCAAAACTGCTGTGTGTTCCACTGACAGTGCAATCATCTGCCAAGTTACTGCAAAGACCATAAATTTCAATAGCTTTAGACCATAGTAACTATGCTTAGGGCTGCACTGTAAATAAAATAAGAGAAAAATCTTACCTGCACATGAATGTCATGAGCTGTTGCCAAGTCACCCAGTCTACCAAGCATTTCCTCTGTACATGATGGTCCAAAGCGGGGTGTTACTATGGGGTGCACCCTTGCATACTGGGAATATTAAAATAGTATCAGAAGTATAGGAATTTGTATACTGTTGAACTATACCTATCGGTTCATTTCTTAAAGCAATTACAAGATTCTTCTCTATTAAAAAGGAAGCAGCAAAGTAAAAACAGAAAATATTATTTTTCCAAAGCACACTGTTTTTGCTTTGCTTTGGCCAAAGCATGATATACATATAGGTCGATTTTACATTACCTTTTTAAACCGCATGATTTCCATTATTGGCCCGTTATAGAGGAAACCAGTACAGGGACGGCTATTTCACACAGCAATTCCAGGTAAGGAGCTGTCTCTGAAGTGCTGTGGGCATTTCAAACTGTGCCACTTTCTTTTCCTGCCATTTTCCACCATGCGCACAATCTCCCTGAGAGGGGTGGGGTTTTTTGAACATTTTATTGGGAGTGCTATGACACTGATTTGACATCCTGTTATAGCGTTATAGCACTCCCAATAGAACATTTTTTTAAAAAAGAGGAAAGATTGCCACTGGCGGGGAAAGGGTGCGAAAAACCCGTCACTGGAGGAAAAGCTACGTGGCATGTTACACACCCCACTGTAGCGATTCAGAACCGGAAGAAGGGATTGAAGACCTGAGGAAAGCAGTTTTCGTCAACAACACCTCAGACACACTTCCCAAACGGGAGACAACTGGCATTGTATGAACAGGTAAATATATTCCGTTAACTAAACTAAACTAACTAAACTGTTACTAAAACAGGTCTGTCTGAAATGACTGGAAAAAAAGTTAGTAACCAGTTCCTGAAGTGGAATAGATAGGCTGTCTGAAATCCTTCATAGTAAAACAGTAACATCAACCAGCTAGCCCAAAATGCTCAGTGTGTACAGGTTCAGAATTTGATTCATCATTATTAACAAGGAGTTCGCTACTTAATTATCAGAAGGTCTGTCGTCTTTGATTTGTGTCGAGCACAAAATCATTGTCATTTAAAATGACTTGTTACCTTTTGTATATTTATAAAAATAACCACGCAAACAGGAAAGAACAATCAGGAGAGAATTGGCTACTTATTTTGAAGGAACTGTATAAATACCAATAATTTATTATTTATCATTTACAAAGTGTTATATTGTCCTCCTCTTATTCACCTGCATGGCATCCTTGGGAAATAGTCCTCTCACACCCACACTTTACAGAAGTCAGTATCAGAGAATTTAGGGACTTGCCGAAGGACAACAGTTTAAAGCCCATGATTAATAATGAACTAAGCACAATAGTGACCCCACCTCTTTAAATGAAGGTCCATCTCTATCACATATCAAATGGGTGCTGGGGGTCCAGTGTTAAGCACAAAAGGGCTGTATGATGAGGATTGTCAAATCCTTCTCCCATGTGCAGTTTTCTTACCCCGATAATGTTCATCATCATTACCCTTTCTTTAGCTGTGCTGTAATACTGGAAATTGAACCAGCTGGGATAAAGACAGCCGTGGGGAAGGAAGGTGTGGGCAGGGTGATGGTTTAAACATCACTCAGACACATGGCATCTTTTACTTCAGACCCGGCTTTACAAATGGTTGAGTGGATCAGATCTACATTTAAAGAGATGGGTCTGTCATATCTAGTTTGACCCTGAGTTCAAACCTGAGCTCAGACTCCTCATACTCAGCATTTATTCCACTCATTCATACTTCCAGAGGTCATTTCGGGGGGGATCGCGGGGGATCGCAGTTCCCCCAGGTGAGGTACGGGGGGCGGGGCACATGACGAAGCCCCGCCCCCTGCTTCCGGCCGCCCCACTTCTGGCCCTCATTCAGCCAGGAGGAGGCAGGAGAAGAGGGGGGGTAAGTTGCTTCCTCCCTGCCTCTCCCCACCCCTGCCTGCCTGGGGCCAGGGAGGGCCTTCGTGGGGCTTCCTTGCACTCCCGCCGGCCTTGCAGGTCAACCGCCGGGCCCCTCATGGGGCTCGGCAGTGGAACTGCAAGGCCAGCGGCAGCCGGGACCGTTGGGGGTGGGGTGTGTGGCCTTATGACACACTTCCGGTGATGTCAGGGGGTGTGGCATATGCTAATGAGTTATGCTAATGAGTTCCCCTAGTTTTTTTTCTATAAAACGACCCCTGCATACTTCAATTATTCAAAACACAACTGCTGAGCTATTCACAACTGTTCATAAAACCTTGTTTTCTTTTGTAAGCCACCATGAGTCCCCATGTGACAAGAAAGGTGCGATATGTTTTAATCAATTGTATAAATAAAAAAGCTCCTACACAGCAAAGCATTCTAACTTTTTTAAATGCAGGGTGCATTCAGACAACATGACTAGCCTTTGTTTGTCTGTGGTACATTCAAACTAGGCTGGAGATCACTTGGGATTACAACCTGAGCCTTCGGGGTAGGGCGGGATACAAATCTAAGGATAAATAAATAAATAACTGATCTCCAGATGACAGAGAGCAGTTCATAGGGTTGCCAAAGTGCTGGGAGCATGGAGACATGCCCGGTGTGATGACTCACTTCCGAGGAACTCACGTGGAGGGCCGGGACTCCCCCAGCTACAGGTAAAATTGGACTTGGCAAAATTGGAGAAAATGGCAACTTTGGAAGGTGGACTCTATACCCCATTAATGTAATGCACCCTCCCCAAACTCTGACCTTCTCAGGTTTCACCCCCAAATCTCCAGGTATTTCCCAACCCAGAGCTGGCAACCCTAGTGCAAACCTAGTTGTCACACTTGCATGCATTTCTCCCTTTTGCCTTTGCAGATAGAATGTGACTGGTTTAAATCAGCTTCAGCATGCTGTGGCATCCAAATGCAGACATCTGGGTAAAAAAGAGTTTGCTTCCTCTCTACAAACCATGGTTTAATTAATCCTTATTTAGAATCCTGGTTTGTGGGGAAGAAATAAACTTCTGTTAGCTCAGGTGGCTTCATTTGGGCATTAGTGCTAGGGTTCCCAGGTCTTACC